AACAATTTCCCCTTGGGGATTAATAAAGTATATCTTCTTCTTCTTCTTCTTCTTCTTCTTCTTCAAATCTATCACTGTCAGTCATATCTGATTAAAGCACATCCACACAGTCCTGAGTTTCTCAGTGTTAAACTTACTCTCAGGTCTTTATGATATAAATGAAGCTACAGCCAGCTGCTGGTTAGCTTAGCTTAGCATAAATGCTAGAAACTGTTAAAAGTGACAAAATACACCTTTTTAGTTTATTTAAGCAACCAGGGTAGACTCCAGGAAATGACTGTTCTGGCCAAAATATAGTCCAGCACGTCACCTTGTTTAAAATTAATATGTTCCAGTCACTGTGTTAAGCTAAGGTTAAGGTAGCTAAGGTAGCTACTGGGTCATCTGTATAGACAACATATTATCAATCCCCTTATCTAACGCTCAGCAATAAAGCGAATAAGGATATTTACTAAAATGTCTAACTATACCTTTAATAAATAATACCTGAAGCTGTCTTTTTAAACAAGATTGTTTCTTCTTTAGTCATGAATATTTGACTGGATAGAGAAATACTTCAAATTTTACTGGGCCTTTCAAAACGACAAAAGGATCAGCGGCCATTTATGATAATTTCATGTACTGGTGGTAGTAAGACATGTTATGTTATGTAGGATTCCTCCTTGTAGGGAAATTCTGTCCTCTCTTGACTTCCTGTAAAAGGAAGTCGGAGGTCACGGTCAACTACAGAACAACAGCCCCGCAGCTGGCAGGGATTTATTGATGTGGACAGTTAAGCAGAAACTTGCCAAAATGTCTTCCAGGCCACCCCGAAGCCCACACAAAGTCCTCTTCATGTAGTAAAACTTCTGTGCTGCAATATGAAATAGAAAAGTGATTTGTTTTGAATCAGACAAAAAAAAAAAAAAATGTAATATGTAAAAATAAAACAACACAATTTAGTTGAATTTGTTATTTTCGGAGAGTAAATCCATTATTGTAAAGCATAACGAGTGTTCACTACACTCTATGTTCAGTCTCATCTTTTACTTTCTCTTCTCTCACCCTTTTCTTTTCTGCATGTCTGTGTCACTCTCTCACACTCACCGCTCTGACTGTGTGGGTGAGCTGGTGGGAGTTTCTGTTTGGTATTTGCCATTTATGTGTGTGTGTGTGTATGCTCGCAGGCATACCTGCATGTGTTAACTGTCTGCTTCATGCCATATTGAACAGTGACTGTGTGTGTGGGTGTTGTATAGATCCAGGTTTTAAGTGTCTGTGTGTGTGAACTCCCTAAGTGTGCTTCAGTGTATGCTCTCTGGGTATGTGCTCTCCTTCTGTGTATGTGTGTGTGTGGGAGAGGTGCGCACAGAGCAATTATGTGATCAGAGCAGAGCCAAGCGGACATTTATGTGGGCGACCGCTACAGTCGGCCAAAGATAGGCTGTTAGATCTTTTCTCTCCCTCACTGCTTGCGTGTGTGTGTGTAACTGGACACCATATGGATAGGAACTACCATTTCCTATTGTCAGTCTCCCGCTGGGCTTTGATGCAGCATCCACTGCAGCTAAAGGGGACAAACTGTGATGAGACACAACAAACAGAAAGGGGTAGGTAGGTGATGAGATGCTTTAAAGTGTTTTGTATTCAGATCAACACATGGATAATAGAAAATACAGTTACAAAGTGATACTATATTTGATCCCTGTGGGGAAATCCTCACCTGGCTTTACATGGGGGTCATAGGTCAGTAACTGTATGTATCATCAGCCCTGAAGCTGGTCAGATTTAGTGCCTTGCTCAAGGACACTTGAGCAGACGTCTGCTGAGTGTTTCTCACACTGGCTTCTCACACTAAAACACCCTGATACACAAACATACACAAACAAAGCAAAGAAAGGCAAAGTAAATAAAAGATTAATGGACATTTTCATGTGTGTGCAGATATGTTGACGATCATCCATCTTAGCTCCAAATGGAGGTTGATCATTAAGAATGCACATTACAACTCATTGTAAACAAGCTACTATGAAGTATAACAGCTTGCAAGATGCAATGCAATGAGAAACAATACAATGTGTGATTGTAATATACTGCAACTAGTAGTGAGTAACTGCAGTAATGTGGATTTGTAGAATTTGTTTCTTTGCTGTCTTTTCCTCTCAAGCCTCATTCACACCCCCAGTGTGCTGAGTGTTACATTGCAGGGAGTCTTATTCCTGCTGCAGTGCACATACAATACATAATTTGGTTGAAATATTTCAGCATTTTAGTTTCAGCTCCTCCATCACGTCAGTGTCTGATCACACAATTTGATCTATGCTTTTATATCTGAAGGTTTATTCTGATTAAATCCATCAGTTTTCTGGTATAACGTTTTAACTTCTGTTCAGTTTGAACAGTTTTACATAGTTGTTGTTGCGCATTTTAAAGTTTTGTATGAGGAGGTTGTGACACTGAATTCTAATTGGAGGCTACAGGCATGCAAAATGTTATGATCTACTCACATTGTTTGAATGATTTAGAAACACATTTATCTTATGTTGCAGAATTAGGAATTAGGAAATTCCTTATAGTGTAGTTTGTATATATGAGATTCAAAACATTAATATAGCAGGAAACAACAATTTGCTATGTAAATATATAGTAGAGTGGCGGTGTCCTGAGCAGAGAATGATGTCACACTCCCCCTCCTGTGTTTCTATCGCAGCCTCTCTGTGGTTTGTTTAAATAGCCAGTCTGCTCTGTGTGCAGCTGAGGCGAGCTACTGAAACTACTCTTTTTCTCATTTACCTTTGTGAATTTCTGATTTTACAATGATGTGCAAGGTAAAATGACTGTTGTTGTCTCTGCAGTATGATGAGTGATAGCGATATTATGGCTATGTCTGTAGAGATCCTTCCCTTAATTTCTTTAGACACTTATAACACTTTTACCAGACACTTAATAACAAACAGTGGCAAAAACAAGCACTTTTAGGACTTTCATAGTTAGCTTACATTGTGGCCATTGCAGCCCTTTTCATGAATATTAATTAGACTGTGAAAAGACTACCAAAGATTAATTTTGTGGGTTTAATTTTGTTACTGTAGCATTGTTTTGGTCTGAGGTGCTGGTACTCCAGTACAATGTCCAATTGCAAGTGCATTTCATATAACTTTTAAGAATATCTAACTTACATCAATTATTGAATTTATTTCTTAAGATTACTACTGTATGTAAATGTGTCCTAATAACTAATTACTAATAATAACTACTAACTAAAGCCCAACTAAAATATTATAATGCTTATATTCCGAATATTAGTTTTTTCTATCTTAGATTGTTTTTATTTTGTATTTCTTTTAAAAATCCCTATTTGACGTCTTATTCTATTTATTGTTATTTGTTGTACACGTAGCTGTTTTTAGCACAGCCTCAGCCACCTAGCTTTTCACTGTACATGTTGTATGAGCCTGTACTTATAAAACCTTTGAATCTTGAATCAATTTAATACTTAATATTGTTCCATATACATTATCAAAAGAAGGTCATTATAATATATTAGAGATTACACTAATGAGGCACTCTTCCGATAAATCGGTCTGTCACTCTGTATTTGGTAGACCA